ATGACTTTATTCTTGTAATATTACAACTTTATTCTCGTAATGTTATGACGTTATTCTCAAAATAAAAAATAAAAAAACTATTCTCTAACCTGTCCCTAATACTGCGTCGTACTTTTATACACAGGATGAAGGCAAAAAAAAAAAAAAAAAGATATGTCTATTGGTTGGAAGATAATTCCTGGCAGTAAGCTCCTCTTATTTATTCTTCAGTTAGCTTCCCTAGCCGGAAAGTACTGATGTAAAAATGTCAGAAAGCTAAAAAGGCTCATCTAAGGTTGGCAAAAGGAAACTTAGAAATATATTCCCTCACACAGTGGCATCTATGGATACTCAGGTTTCTGTTTTTATCACTTTATGTTCAGATTTATATCTATTGATAACTGGCTAAGTGGCCCATTTACCCTTTCACACAGATAAACAAAGTTGTTTGTTGTTTTTTGTAGCCTATGCTCGATCCGGTGATTCACAAGACGATCACGTATGTGCAGAACCTCGAGGAAAAGGACCTGAAAGATAAGGTACAGTTTGTATGAATCCTGTCGTAGGAGCTGTGTGTTAAGAAATGGGGAAACAAAGAGATTTTATTTGTTTGCTCAGCAGCTTCTGCTGCAGCGGGAGTGAGATAGTCATCACATCAATCACGTGATTTTTTTTTTTTTTTTAACGGGGTGTTAAAAATGTGTTGTAAAAAATCTCATGTTAGTCCAACTCTTTCTAACGTCAGCGCCTAGTGAGCATCCCAGACCTGCTGTCGGCCATCAAGCTGCTGTGTATGAGGTTCCAGAGGGAGCTGGTGGCCGTGGTGGACGACCTGCGGTTGGACACGCTGCTGCGAATGCTCAAAACTCCACACTTCTCCACCAAAATGAACTCTCTCAAAGAGGTCCGTTTTCCTCGGTTGAAAAAGCTGAGGCAGCTTGTTTCAGTCTCTTTTTTATTAATTTATTTTTACAATACTATCTCTGTTTATATTTGATTGATCTATTTTGCAGGTAACTAAGTTAATAGAAGAAAGTACAGTGTCAAAAACAGTGAAAAATGCCATAGATACAGATAAACTTCTCGACTGGCTCGTGGAGAACTCAGTCCTGTCGATAGCACTGGAAGGTAAGAAATCCTTCTGAATCAGACATATGTGGCAGCTCTGTGTTTAAATTATATAACAACTATATAATGTGGAATAAACAAAATATATAGGTATGTATGTATATGTATATATGTATTAGGGATGGAACTGTTTATGAAAACCGTCCGAACCGTTCGGTTCGACTGTCTCGGTTCGGTTCGCGTGTGTTTCGTTCGGTTCATGCGCTGCTCCTTTTTCTCATAGGGGAAGCGTTTACACTCCAGAGCAGAAGGTGGCGGTACTGCAACCAAAGCCAACCACCAGTAGTAAACAAGAAGAAGAAGAAGCGAAGCAGCGTAGCCGGGTGTAGCAGAAAAAAATCAGTTGTTGTGGAGAATTGTGTGGGTATGGCGAGTGGGAAAGAACAGGAGTTGGAAGACGCGCCAGCAGCACTTTATAGGTCTGCTGTATGGGACCGCTTTGCATTTAGAGTGACCTACGATGACGGCGGAAAGAAAGCTGTGGATAAAAGTGCAACAGTGTGCAAGCATTGTGCAAAACGTTTTGTTTATGCTAACAGCAACATGACCATCATCCCTCATACTCCGTCAGCGCTCCGCCCCGCTGCGCTCCAGACCGGCTGCTCAAAGCAAAGCCTGCAGCCTCCACTGTGGCTCCCTCCGCTCCGCTCTGAGTCCCTTGGAGATGGTAGAGAGCATGCGCCAGATGATTCAATTCAAAGCAGCAAAACATACGGAAATGATCCAGGGTTTCCGCGGATCATTTAAAATAATTACAACCCTATTTTTTGGGGGGGATTTTTTCATTAATTTCATAAATTGTTATGGGATTTCGGTGTAACAATCAACCGAATCGAACCGAAAACCATGGATTTTGTGAATCGTTCCACCCCTGATGTATATATGTATATATATGTGTATATGTATATGTATGTGTGTGTATATATATGTTTTTGCAGGAAAAGAGCAAAACAGCAGTAGCTTTGTTATTTGCAGGGAGAAAATGTGGTCACATGGGATATGCATTAGTAAAGAGCAGAGTATGTGCTAATAATTCAACGAAGATTTGATTGAACATGCCTGATTGTTCTTGCCTCAGGCAATATCGACCAGGCTCAGTACTGTGAGAGGATAAAGGGAATCATCGAGCTGCTTGGGAGTAAGCTGTCACTGGATGAGCTCACCAAGATCTGGAGGATACAGGTGAGAAATAAAACCACGTGCTTATTCATTTATTTTATTAATTAGATATGTGAAGAAACTATAATTAAGCCTAAAAATTATATATTGAAAGTGTTCATTTATATGTATAGTGAAAGTTCATTGTTCTGTTTGTAACATTTATACTTATCAGTAGGTCTGCAACGATTATTTTGCAAATAAAATTACCTATCTATTTTTTTTTTTTGATCAATCGTTTACTAATCAGATAGGAAAGGATTCCTTAAAGGAGATTTTTTACAAAATTAAACCAGCTGAAGCTAAAAACGTTCCAATTGAGTTTTGGATAGACCATACTGACAAACTTTTATTTTAAAGGCAAAATATTTAGTTATATTTTTTAACAATTTGATTTAATTCCTGCTCTAATTGGGTCGCTGTGTCAAGGCGTATTTTATATCCATCAATTACTAAATTAATTGACATTTATTTCAATAATCAATTAATCCGATTAATTGTTTAAACCCAACTTATGATTTTTTTTTCTTTTTGTTTTTATTTGTAGAAATAATTAAACTCCTGAACACTTTGCTAACACAGGGAGATGAATATTCCAGTTTGGTCCGGTTTCCCATAATGCATTGCTCATCGTTTAGGAAAAAACAGAGTATAGCAGCATCAGCTACCAAGCATGGCGGTGGAGTGGTGATGATATGGGCTGCTTGCTGTTTAAAAGGAGACGGGGTGTGTTAGTGGGACACTTGCTGGATCATGAGGGATTGTCTTTGTTTGCCTGTGTTATATTTCAGGCGGGCCAGTCATCAACAGTGATAGAGAACATCCACACCATCATCGCTGCTGCTGCTGTGAAGTTCAGCTTCGACCAGCTCACCCACCTCTTCGTCCTCATACAGAGGGTCAGTGCTGCTCTCAGGTTAAGGTCCGATCGTTGTCTTCTTCTCCTATTGAACCTGCTGTCTGTTATTTAGAGCTGGGAGGTGGAGAGCGACCGCGTCCGGCAGAAGCTGCTCAGTCTAATCGGGAGAATAGGCAGAGAAGCTCGCTCTGAAACCACCACAGGAAAGGTGCGATGAGGAGAGGTTTCACCCCGCAGAGGCAGCTGGTGTTAGAGTGGCGAGTCTGAAGCGTTTTGTTTCTGCTCAGGTGCTAGAGGTGCTATGGGAGCTGGCTCACCTCCCCACCCTGCCGACCAGTCTGGTTCAGCAGGCCCTGGAGGAACACCTGGGGATTCTCAGTGATGCCTACGCCGTCAAGGAGACCGTGAAGCGCAGTTACATCATTAAATGTATAGAGGACATAAAAAAGGTGAGAGCTACGGTTGAATCTGTACTAGTTATGTCTATGATGGGGACTGGAATGCCATTTCCACAGCATTATGCTGCCACTGCCGTGTTTACCCACATGGCTGCTAATTATGGCTTTTTGTCAAGGCTGGCTTTTTTTCAGGCTTCTCCTGTTCATTTTATTGGATTTTTTTTGTGTTATTGTTGTTTTTTATTCTTAATTAGTACTTTCCTTCCCCAGCCTGTATGTTTAGTCAAAATAGAAAAGTCCTGGTTGGTTTGTGGTGGTAATTTACTTTTTCTGATTGTGGTGATGGACTGAAGGGTGACATGTTTAAAGTGAGGGATATTGCTTTATTACCCTACTGCTGCAAAGCTTTAAAAAAAAAAAATCCATCCCATCTCTTCTCTAATCTTTCAAAGGTTTGTTCTCCGCTCCATCAATGTGCATCCAGGCAGGATTTTAATCAGGGATCTGATTTAAAGGAAAAGACCAGTCAGCCAGGAATAATCAATGGATCATTATATATACCTAAAACTAATAAGTTCCCAGTGATTTATTAAATGTAACATTAATCAGTTAAAAAATAAAAACGGTAATAACAAGGACGGGTTGGTCGTTGGCTCGCCAACTTGTAGAGGGAGGATTTGCCATCGAACTTCTGGCCAGAGAAAAAACACGTAATATGTAGATTTTTGTAAAATTTGTCAAAGTTATGTTTTTATTTGATATGAGGGGAGATTGATGTAAAGCAAAACTCGAAAAGTGGGTCATAAAAGAAACGGACACGTGAAAAACCCCCATCTGTCCCGCATTGACCCCCATAAAGGCCTTATTGTTTTCACCCTTCATACAAGCCAGGCTTGCCAAGGAAAAGGGCCAGCAAATACATCAACAACACCTTAA